TTTCAGTTTCAGAAGGGGGAGAACTACCCATTGCTTTAAATGGGTGTTCCACTCATGCAAAGGGTTGTTGAATTCATCTTCACAAGTGGCAGGGAAGGAAGAGCTGCACATGTAACAGACTGTATACTAGCCATGAAGTGCAACATTTGAAGCAACAGCTTTGAAGTCAGAGTAAATGGTTGTCTAGGTCAGTGGTTCTTAAACTTAGGTCCCCAGATGTTCTTGGACTGCAACTCCCAGAAATCTTGGTCAGCACAGCACTCAGTGAAGGCTTCTGAGAATTGCAGTCCAAGAACATCTGGGGACTCAAGTTTGAGAACCACTGGTCTAGATGAAGTTTCAGTGACAGTAGTTGTGAGTTTTTCAATGCATGTAATGAATGTTCAGAGTGTTGATAACATAAACTACTTGCCAATAGGTAGGCAGATTGGCTACCTGCTATCAGACATTGGTTAGACTATTAACTCTAATGTGTAGGTTCCAATGATTTGGCAGATCTGGCCTCAGCAGAACCACTTCTTGTAAAGAAAAGTTATTTGCATCTATACTTCAGAAGCAGTAGCCTAACCATAATCTCTTAGCAGCTTAACAAGCTCATTACTTATTGTTATAACATTTTATTTATAGACTGTGTGGCTTAGTACTGGTGCTATTCTAAGCAATTTACAACAAAGAATAACTGATGCCACAAAAACCAATATTCACACCCACAAATAAACCATAGATCACATTAAAACCCAAATAATGCCAAAAACAGGGAACACAGATATAAATTAATTAAAACATGGATATCCTTAAATGCTTCTTGATAGAGAATGGTCTTTAGCATCATAAAGGATTGGAGGGAGAGATCCTGGAGTACTTCTAACAGGAGCCCATTCCATAAGGATGGGGCCAAAACCAAAGAGGTGTGATTTCTAGTAATAGTTGTCTTTGCCCCTCTCGGTGTGGGAACACAACAAAGCAAGACCTGTGAAGAATGAGTGTGACAGGCTCATGTTCTGAGGGAGAGCTCTTGACAGATACCACGCCCCTAAATCATTTGGGGCTTTGTAAAGGTTAAAGTTCCCCTTGACATTTAGTCCAGTCATGTCCGACTCTAGAGGGCGCGGTCCTCATCCCCGTTTCCAAGCCATAGAACCAGCGTTTGTCCAAAGACGGTTTCTGTTGTCACGTGGCCAGCGCCACTAGACACAGAACACTGTTACCTTCCCACCGAGGTGGTACCTATTTATCTACTCACATTTACATGCTTTCAAACTGCTCTGTTGGCAGAAGCTGGGACAAGCAATGGTATGACTGCTGGTCTTCTGACCTTGCAGCACGGAGGCTTCTGCAGTTTAACCCACATTGCCACCACATCCCACAGGGCTTTATAAACTAGAACCAAATCCTTGAACCTGCTGGTCTAAAAAAAAAACAACAACAACAAAAAACGAAGCCAATGCAGGTGAGCCACAACTGGAAAGGTGTGATCAAACATAGGGCAGCCCCCATATAGGGGGTGTTACAACACTGAATGCACATTATTAATAACGCAGAAGGCATCAGTATCCTATTTCACTTGGTCCCCATAGCACCACAACCATATATATGGTTTATAGAAATCATAATCTGTGCCTTAAGTATTCCTGTCTGAGGAAGTGGACTGTAATAAATGAAAGCTATGTTAAAGTTTTAGGCATGTTGCTCTTGTTACATAAACTCTGCTGTGTGTGGCTGCTCTAAAGTAACAATGTAACTGCAGCTGCATGTCTTACGCTCTAATTGAGATTGAAACTTCCATTTTCAGCTTTAGTGAGCATAAGTCAATGGTGAGGAATGCTAGTAGTTCTATAACAAATGGAGGACCACAGTTGCCTATATCCTGCTTTAAAGCGTCACTGTTAGTTTTTATTTAAATGGTGACACTGGCTTCTTACTTTCTCTTCAAGAGTAAAGGAAGTTTTGAAATGTAGTGGCTGAAGGTGGAGTTTTAGTATCCTAAATTAGTTGGCACTCTGTCTAGGTTCTAAAGAGAAGGAAGACTGAACACGAACTAGATTACTCTAAAGAGGAAAACTGTGGCCTTTAGTTTGCAAGTCCTAAGAAAGCCTGTTAATAACAGAATCGTTTGAAGGTTATTAATTCACAAGATTGTCAGAAGGGACCAAGCAGCAGCTTACAACAAATAGTTGACTGAAATCCAGTAGCAAATTGCAAGGAGAGGAGGATCATTGAATCATCAATGGAACTTCCCCACTGATTCAGTGTGCCTACTCTAGTTGTGACTTGCTGTTGAATTTCAGCCACAATGTTACTCAGTAGCGGTGGGTCAACATTTGGTCCTTTGGCTGTTTTGGACTTAAAACTCCCAAAAACCTGATTCAGCATGGCCAGAGATAAAGGATTCTAAGTAGAGTTGGATATTTGTACAGTGGTGCCTCGCTTTATGATTGCCTTGCATTATGACGAAACCGCATTACGACCTTATCGCAAAATGATGGTCTGGGTTTTTTTCGCTTTGCGATGATCGGTTCCCTGCTTTGGGAACTGATTCTTCGCAAAATGACTATTTTCCTCCAGCTGATCTGCGGTTTCAAAATGGCCACCGGGTAAATAAAATAGCTCCCCGCTGTTTTCTGAGATGGATTCCTTGCTGCATAAGCACCAAAAATGGCCGCCCTATGGAGGGTCTTCGCTGGACGGTGAGTTTCCAGCCCACTGGAATGCATTGAAGGGGTTTCAATGTGTTTCAATGGGCTTTTTATTTTTGCATTACGATGTTTTCGTTCTACAGCGATTTCGCTGGAACAAATTAACGTAATGCGAGGCACCACTGTATTCATAAACTATTACGAATATCCTGGGCCCAGGTGGCTGAAATCCCTGATCCTGCCCAAACAAACCCATCCACTTATGGGTAACCGTGCAGTGCACACGCCATTGTCCTGCTCATCAACCAGCGTTCTGCTTATTGGGCCAATCTCCTATGAAGCCTGGCTGCCACTTCTTTGCCTTCCTGCTCTTCTGGCCACTCCAGCCAGGGGACAGGATGCTAAGTGGGCAGAAGTGCAGGAAAGCAAAGCAGCAGCAGCTGGCCTTAATAGGAGATTGGCCTGATGAGCAGGACACTGGCCATGTGTGCTACCCAGCGACCCCTAAGTGTACAGGTCAATTCAGGGAGGCAAGACAGGGGATCCTGGCCACCTGGGCCCAGGATATTTGTTTTCTTTTACAAATACAAACATCCCCTCTCTAAACATGAAGTCAAAGGCCAAAAACAAAAGGTTAAGCAGTGTTCTTGAATCTCATGATTAGAATCTTGTGATTTGATTTACAGTGCAAGCATTTCCAGTAATTAATCCAATCGATAACCCTGAAAGGTGGGCTACATATGATTCAAGGTTTCCGTCCTAACATATAGGCACAAGGGATGGTACTGTATATCCTTACCATGCAGAAAGGCCCAGGTTCAGTTGCAGTCTTTCTGGGCTGACTAGATAGTTGACATGTGAAGCAGAGTGAAATTTGTTGGCCTTGGTAATATGTTTTCATGTATGTGTTGAATTGTCAGGTTTTTTGTAGTGCTGCCATTGAGTGCCTTTACTTTCTACAGCAGTGTTCAAAGAAGTAACGGGTGACCAGTTTCTGCATGAAATAAAAGAGAGCTCTGTGGTTATTAGATAATACAAATGTAGGAGCAGGTGATACTTTTATAGGCCACTAAAGAAATCATACAATCTGCTGGCTATGGTGGATCAAATGTACACTTTGTCGGGTATGCACCAATAACTGAAGAGTCCAAAAGTTCTTGGCGGTTGGATTTTGCCGCGTATTTGTCTTGGATGTCAGTTAGAAAGGGTGCCTAGGCTGCAGTAGCATTGTGGCTTTAAAGTTACAGCTGAGGAAGCTGTTAATTGGATATCACAACCCAGTTTTTCTTTATTTATTTACAGTACTAATATAGTAAATGTATTTTTTTATGATTATATATATTTTATATTGATATATTTTATGTTGTAAGCCGCCCTGAGTAGACATGGTCTAGAGGGGTGGGGTATAAATTTAATAAATAAATAAATAAATAAAGTAGACATCTGATCCAAAGCTAGCAAATTGTGATTTCCTTGTTGCTGTTATGTGCTTTCAAGTAGCCTCTGACTTACAGTGACGCTGTGAATGCGCAATCTCCAAAATGCCCTGTCCTCCTTCGCTCTGTGGAGCTCTTGTAAACTCAAACCTGTAGTTTTCTTAAGGGACTCTGTCCATCTCATATTTAATCTTCCTCTTTTTCTGCCGCCTTCCACCTTTTCCAGCAGTATTTTCCTTTCCAGTCAATCCTGCCTTCTCATGATGAGCCCAAAGTTTCAACATAGTTCAGCCCTGATTTGATCTAGGACTCACTGCTGGTCTTCCTAGCAGTCCAGGGTATCCACCATGCTCTCCTCCAGCACCCTATTTCACACGAATCAGTTTTTCCCTATCGGTTTTCTGGACTGTCCTGCTTTCATACCCATATATGGTGATCGGAAGTACAAACATGAGGATGAACTTCGTCTCCATGATTTCTTCAGTGGTCTATAAAGGTAACACCTACTCCTGGTTTTGTACTTTTTCTGCTGCGTAACTTAAAAAAAAAAATCCAGAAAAGTATTGTGGCCTCTTGAAGACGGAAGACTGCGCGTTTTCGTGGAAACCCACTCTTTCAGAGAAAGCTCACGAAATAAATCTTTAAAACGCCACCGTGCTTGTGTTTGTTGTATGTTGTTTTTGCTACCTAGGAAGAAAGTGCGAAAATGCTCCAGTTCCTTTACTGTCCGCTCGCCCATCTCAAAACCGTTCGTCAGATATTGGGCTCTTACGACCCGACTCTTACAATTTCCATAGAGCCGCGGGGGGGGGGAGAATAAACGAAGCGTCCAGACGGCTGCTGGAAGTCTGCAAACAAAAGCCGTTCACGCCTCTCCTGGGCGGAAGATGTCCTTCGGCCCACGTGACGCGAGGAGGCGGTCACGTGGCGAAGCCGGAAGTGGCCCGCCTGGGGGGTCCTTCCCGATGCTTGACAGGCTGGAGCTCTCCCCGGTTGGCGGCCGGGGTTGCGCGGCCCTCTGCCTTTACCCGCGATGCGGTGGGCACGCGTGGCCGGCGAGAGACTGTGCCGGCGCCTGCGTGGGCTGGAGGCGCTGCGCGACATCTGCCGCCAGTACCCGCTCTTTTGCTGCCTTCTCTTGGGTCTCAGTGTGGCAACGCTGCTGTTCAGCCGGTAAGAGAGAGGGGGGTGGTGGTGGTAGGGGCGAAAGCAAGCAAGTGCGCGGATGCTCTTCCTTAACGGCGTGACCCTCGGGGACCAAGGAGGGGGGTGCTGGCTTGGGCAGCGTGGGTCGTGTAGCTTCGTTTCAAGGAGCGGTCAAAAGGTCCGTGGAGTGGAAATGAGGGCTCGGAAGGGGCGCTGGGGTCCGGAGAGCGCCAGAGGGGCGGGACAGAAAAGTCTTCACGGTCCCTTCTGTTTGGTAAAAGTGACGCGGAGAGGTCATCGGGAGAGGTGGAAGTCTCAACGGGGCCATTTTCTTAATCTGTACTGCAGCCAAAACAAGACAAGTGTCCGATGTCATTTTGGGGGGGGGATACTAAAGCGAAGCATTAAGGCGGCCATCAGCAGCGACTGTTACTGTATTTCTCTCTCTCTCTCTCTGATCGAAATGCCCCGAATCTCCTTATTTCCCGTGTTTGAAGCCGTCGTTATTTTCTTCTGCTGATTCTTCTCTTTCCTTTAATGGGCTCCGCCAGATGGTGCTTCGAGGATATTGGGGGTGGTGGTGGTCAAGAGTCCGGGTTTTTGTTTTTCCTTCCCCCTCGATCAGAAGCAGAGTTGGGGGGAAAATGATTACGTTGCAAGAAAGGGGGGAGTGTTTAAAGAAATTCTCGGGGTGTAGGGGGTTTATTGGGGGGTAGTGCATGTACTGTAGTTCACAAAGGAGATGCTAGTTCGCCTCCATTTTGCAGCCTTCCTGGCTGTTCTTGCCCATTTCTCGAAGGAGGCCGAGGAAGGTCGCGAGAGGACTGCTCGCGCCCCCCCCCCCAAAAAAAAGGCCACGCCGCCTTGAGGAGCAACCCGAACCGCCGCGCGAAGCGTTTCCTAGTTTCGGGAGGCTCCGAGTGGGACGTCCCTAGTGGTGGACGTAGAGAGAGATGAGATG